GCCAGAGGTGACCGGCCAGCTAGAGGTCGAAGCGTGACACTCTAGACCACTAGGCCATCCCAACCCCCCAGTTGTATTTTACCTCCCTAACCCTATTTATATCTCGTGAGCTAGACGAACTCTGCAGGTGGCCTTAATATTTAGACGTGACGTGGCTCCCCGTCCATTAATTAACATATAACAGTAAAAGATGGCTGCTGATGGCCCCATGCCAGCGTCTAATCTATTACTATGGTAACAGATGAAGTAATTACTGGCCACGTGGTATACCATCAATAGTTTATATCACCATTATGGCGATTGGCTGGAGGGGTTTTAGATGTATCACACTTTTAACATCATTCCGTATTTATCACTAACTATTTTTTAAAATAGGGGAGTTGGGTGGCCGAATGGTTAGCGTGTGCGTGCTGTATCATAAGGTCTGTCATTGAATCAACGTGGTTTCTCCTTGTCAGTGATGCAGGAGGGAGGGTCTGACAAGGACAGCTGTTTAGTCGTTCGGATGGGACGAAAAACCGAGGTCCCATGTACACATTGGCGTGCACGTAAAAGATCCCTTGGCAGTTGGAATTCGATATAAGACTAGGCCATAGTGCCGCTGCCCGGGCAAAAAATTCCCTCATAGCACACTGTATGGCGTATCCCCGTCTTCATTAGCCCAGGTTAGGAGCAGTTCGAATTTTGTTTCCATGGAAACGCTTTTAATAATCAACAATAATTTGCTTTTCAAAACTTTTCATATAGGACCATGCCCGACGCACCGATGAGACCTTTACACATGACCATTTCCAGAACTTACGAAACAGATTTTCCCGTCTTGTTTCCACATGTCAGTCGTGCAGAAAAGTAGGACGTTAAACCCAAATTCATTTCATTTCCATTAGGGGATGCGACGTGAGTTAGGAAGTCGTTAGAACCGATAATTGATGAGAGAGAGAGAGAGAGAGAGAGAGAGAGAGAGAGAGAAAGAGAGAGAGAGAGAGAAAAATGGGGTTTAACGTCTACTCGACACAAACTAGGTCATTTCGGGACTAACATATGGTTTAATTTTATTTCAATAAATCGCTTGCGAGTAGGGGTCTTTAGCAGTGTGAGGAAACCGAATGACCTGGGGAAAACCCACGAGGTTGGACAGGCGACCCTACTCCTTGTCACGTACAACCGGAGATTCGAAACCACGCCAGATGACTCAATGACAGGCTTTATGCCTTTATGATACAGCACGCACGTGCTAACCATTCGGCCATTCAACCCCCCGATAATTGATGAACAAAGAGAGCTGTTCAATAATTGTTGATGTACAATGTACTAATGTCCACTAATAAAGCAGTATGGCGCGTGCTCCTCCGCCGCCTTATTATAATAGACCACATGGAGTGATCATCAAGACCGTGTCTCATCTACGACTTTAACATTAGTTGTTTATCGCAATGAAATGGGGTTTAACGTCCTACTGTTCGCCACCGACTCGGCTAATAAAGACGGATGGATGCCATGCAGTATGCTACGAGGGATATTTTAGCCCGATCTATACTTCTGTTTCGAATTTCAGCTGAATAAGTCCTTTTTGCTTTAAAAATGTGCCCAACCCACATCGGCCGTTCTATTCGCCATCTCTGTCGGCATCATAGGGGAGAAGCGGTTGAAAGATACATTATGGCCGGAGATTCGATAATAGTTAAAAACTAGAAAATGTAAAGGCAATTTGCTGAAAATTTCATTCAAATTGATCCCCTATGAACAGAGAACTAAGCGATTGAAATTTCCGCCTAGACTCGATCATCATTACTAAAGTCAGTACGGTAAACAACATTGTCTCGATTATCCATTTAATCGTTAAGTCGTGAAGGAAAATTATGCAGTAAATCGGCTCATAATTCACTAAAGATCGTAGGCTAGCGATGCCATCTAGAGTTGATTATGGTCTAGATAGGTTAATTAATGTCTAATTAATAATTTAGATTTAGCTCTTGCATAATGTATGTTTAAAGGTGAAGCGCCAGCCTCCGACCCGAAAGTAAAAATCAGAAACATTAGACACCGTTCCTTGCCAGACCATTCGTCCTGCACGACTGACAAAGGAAAACCACATCCGGAAATACCGAGAATCTTTCTCTTCTCGGGTTAAAACTCGGATCTAACACTCGAAGACCAATAGACGGAAACAACGCTGTCCGGGCAGAATTCCCCTCACAGCTCTCTGCTAGGCGTTATATTACGCCCGAGAGCCACGGTGGCTCAGTGAGTAGGACGTTGATTCGCTAACCTGGAGGTCTCGTGCTCGATCCCTGCGTTGGCCGAGAATATTCATCGGGATTTTCCGGCTTTGTTAGCTCTTGTCAATGGTGCAGGACGGGGGGACTGACAAGGGACAACGTATAGCCATTCAGATGGGATGAAAAACCGAGGCCCCATGTACACATTGGTTTGCATGTAAAAGATCCCTTGACAGTTGGAATTCGATACAAGAGTAGGCCATAGTGCCGCTGCTCGGACAAAATTCCCCCCGTGGCACACTGTATGTCGTATGCCCGTCTTCATTAGCCCAGTCGGAGCAGAAAAGTAGGGCGTTAAACCCCATTTAAACATTATATTGTTCCCGCCTTTTTGAGTCCGGTTGGTGCCGTAAAAAAAAGACGTTAAATCCACTTGTTTTTGTTTTTCGCTAGATTTTGACAACGAAAAGCATCGGTTCCACCGTTTATCTATTCCCAATCTGATCAAAATACAGATCTATATTTCGTTTCGTTTTTTTATACTTTCGATGGCCTAAACTACATGAAGATCTGACAAATTGTACTCGAAGGTCGTGTCAGGGGTCGTACGCACGGCTTTTGACCCTATGACGTCAAACAATGATTTAATCAATCGGCGTTGACGTTTCTAGTGGTGTACCCACAGTTCCGTGCATGGCATGCCAAGAACTCGCCGTAACGGACCGTTTCATTGGCTTATCCTTCACTTCAACCAAAACACCGGTAATATAACAACTCTTCTAGATCCAAGTGTTGTAAAGACAAATAAAACGAAATTTTGAACTATAAAAAACGAAACGAAATAGGATCTGTGTTTTAATCAGGTTGAACTATTCCTAAACGTAATGTTCCAAAGTTTTTTTGTTTTTTTGTTGTTTTTTTTTTGTGGGGAGAGGGGGGGGGCACCCCTTTCGCTCTGAGGCCTATCAGGACTGTGTTGTTATCTTAACATGAAAAGATGGGCTTCTGATATCCAATATTTATTTAAAACAAAATGAAAACCTTAAAATTGGCACATGAATCGCGCGCCAGAATGCTTTCGAGTGCCATTTGTAAAGAATCGACTCGATAAACGAGGCTAAACATACCCCTCAGAAGTGAATACTACCAGTGTAGACTGAAATAACCAGACCCCTTTCGCTCTGAGGCCTATCAGGACTGTGTTGTTATCTTACCATGAAAAGATGGGCTTCTGATATCCAATATTTATTTAAAACAAAATGAAAACCTTAAAATTGGCACATGAATCGCGCGCCAGAATGCTTTCGAGTGCCATTTGTAAAGAATCGACTCGATAAACGAGGCTAAACATACCCCTCAGAAGTGAATACTACCAGTGTAGACTGAAATAACCAGACGTCAAAGACTGATTCCATTTGGACTCGTCTTTGCCGTACATAACTGATTTGAAATTACAGTAAAAACAGAAAGGATTGAATGTAAATCAGTTTATATACATTCATATTACATTATTATATGCGTTGCGATCCAATGTCCATTTCTAAGTGCCAAGGCATAGAGATTTAGCTCGAAATTTCATTATTGTAGGGGCCCTTCTAAACGAACGGCCCCGGCAACTGAGTCCCTTAATTTGTCTAGGTTGTGTTTGGGAATCTCTAATTATCTGGGTTTTCTTTCCTGTGGGGGAATTGCGTTTCTCCCTGTCACTACCGATGGACGCCTTGACGCAAAGCCCTGACTGACAGGGAAATCGGTTAGAAATCTGGCAGACGACATCTGAAGCTTATTTGTTGATGTAAACCCTGTTTAATGAATCCGTTTATTACGAGCAACATTTCAATAAATTATAGATCGCCAAATCAACTTATTACAAAATCATCTTAGCACAATAATACCATTGCGCCATCTGGGCTCGATGCTGTCTGCTAAAAATCAATCACGTGATCATTACCATGGGAAAACGCGCGTCAAAACGTGACGGTATTCCCTGACGGCAGACTGGCAGACGATTAGGAAAAGATTTAATCCACTAACTCTCATCGTCTGCTTGGATTTTTTGTTTAGCTTAATAATGATCAGTAGATAATATTGCGCGTGCTTTTAGTGCAGGAAAAGTAGTTGAGCACCGGATTATTAGTAAGGTTTCTCGCGCTGTGAACGCGCTGATCTGATGACGTATTGATTAGTTACTAGAACGAGTTTTATATCCATTCATGTGAGAAGGTGCGCGTGGAGACTATGTATCTGAGTTTTATTCAGGTAGAAAATTACACCAGATGCTTTTTATACGTCTGTTACATCGTGTCTGACAAAAATCTGTATTAAACTACCTGACTTTTATAATGGTCCGTTTGGCCCATTCACTCGACCGTTAGAGTTATTTGATACGGAGAGCAGCATGCCATGCATGTATACTGTGGTGTGTGATGGGCGTATGGCGCGTGCAGAGTTCTATCTACACGTCTGTTGATAGCGCGTTCTGAAGTTCCAATCAGTATAACAGTGTTCGGATGGCAGCGTGAACGGTATGCCAGTATCCCTTAGTACAAGCTACGGAGGTGGAGTTGTGTTTCTTCGATATAGAATTTTTGTTTAAATTCTTCATGTGGAGTATTATTTAGTTTGGGAGTGAAACGCCTGTTTGCAAATCGTGGATATTATTATAAGATGTGTGCGATTTTAATGTCCGTCAAAGGAGGAAGAGTTCAGTAAAAATGGATTATTTTAAAATGTGTATTTTATAAAACAAAACATATCTCTTAATCAGAACATGGCCGAGGAATCGAGCGGGGGGAAAAATTCCTCCATGGTCGGCGAATCGACCTCGGATAATCAAAATGGAAACGAAGGGCCGAACCCTTCTACATCTCCGACAGAATCGAACGAAAAGAAACCCGCGTCCTTGGATGATGCAGAGAAAGGGAAGGTAAAACTAGCATTGGAAGATAAAACGGAAGAACAGACAGATGACGATGAGGAAGAAGAATTACTGTTCCCGGGATTTATGGCCAAAACGTTCTTTTTTATGAAACAATCTCATCCAGTCCGATTACAATTCCTTCGATTGATAACATGGTCATATCCTTTTATAAAAAAAAAATCACAAAAAAAAAATCCACAAATATTAAAATATCTAGTTTTAGTGTTACCTTGTTTTAGTATATAATTGAATTTCAGATTTTAATTGATTACAGGTAAGTCATCATGATTATTTATATATTTAATTTAATATCACGTACTTAATACACATATCATGCACGCCATTTAAAAATTTAAAATATCTTTTATGTGTAGTTACAGAAACATATATTACCCGGTATTTGACGGCAATTATGAGCCTAAATCAAGGCCACTTAATTTATAATATTGATGGTATATAAAATAATATTATTCCCTTTTCGGTATTTTAAACACGTCATCTTACAGCCGATCCGTTAAATTTGTGACATGCACACCATTTTGAAACAATGAGATTGATATCGAAATAATATTACAGTTACGTCATTCTTATTCTAATCACGTGACTTATGATGTTAATTGTGTTGTATATTGATGAATTCCCGAGCAGGTGATAGGGAGCTTGTTTGTTTTGTTTTTTATTAGAGATGTTTACTTCCCTTCTTGAATTTTGTTTATTATAACAGCGGTTATTCTAGATATATTTTTTTTTTGTTATATTTCAAGATATATTTTTTCTTTGAATTTGTTTTTAAAAAATGATTAACTAGGAACTAAATCCCTAAATTCTTTGGGACCTAGAAATTGACACAAAAGGGTCGCAACGCCTATAATAAAGTAATATGGATGTATATAAACTGATTTACTTTCAATCGTTTCTGACTTTACTGTAATTTCTAATCAGTTATGTTCTGCATTGACGAGTCCGAATTGAATCAGTCTTTGGCGCCTGGTTATTCTAGTCTACACTGGTAGTATTCTCTTCTGTGGGGTATGTTTAGCCTTGTTCATCGAGTCGCTTCATTTCAAATGGCACTCGAAAGCATTTTGGCATGAGATTTGTATACCAATGGTAAAATGTTTATTTTGTTTTAAATATTGGATATCAGAAGCCCATCTTTTCACTGTTAGATAACATCATCAATATTGATTTACATTGACCAATAAGTCGTGTTTCCAATGTCGGAGACTTTGGATGACATTGAGTTAAAGATTTGCGTGTTTTAAAGATACATTATGTAAGATTTAGATAAAGAGCTGACCATTCTTGCTATAATTGCTCAAAAAAAGAAAGATAATGCAAAATGAAAATATTTAAATTTTCATTCAAATTACTTCATTCTGAGCCACATTATCACTGTTTGTAGTTTTGACAAGATGTGTGCATTGTGGTAATCAGGGCACCTGTATATTCAAGATTTAGCCTCGCTTTCCCATTTTTAAATGGCGAACCGTTCTAATCTGGTTAAAATCTCGAGTATCCAATGCCATCTAGAGTTGATTATGGTCTTGTTTTGTTGATAAATATCTAATTCATAGTTTATATAACATTTCAAGCCTAAAGAAAGACCTGCAATAGGGAGATTTAGGTCTTGGGTAATGTATGTTTAACGTTCAGTTATTTCAAAAAAGTAAGATATAGTCAATTATTTAGTACATTGTTACATGCTTACATAATAAATGGATAGAAATATTCACTAATTGCTGTTGCTAAATCTAAAGGTCTCATTTTCATTTTTTTAAAACAAAGAATAAAAAAGTCACTTATATAGTATATATGTATTTATCTAGTAACAGGATAGAAATATTCGCTTATTGCTAAATGTTAGAGAATTAATATGTGAAGGTAATTAGATTTAAAAAAATATAGATAACATATCAGTGATGTAGTACATTATTATGTGCTTTCATGTACAGTACATATGTGCTTACCATAATAAATATAAAAATATTCACTAATTGCTAAATGTTTGGAAAATATTTGAAGGTTTTAGGACTAAAAGATACATTATGGAAGATTTAGATAAAGAGCTGGCAGTTCTCACTATAAATAATAGTTAAAAACTAGATAATATAAAGGGAATATGTTGAAAATTTCAGTCAAATTGCTCCACTCTGAATAAAGATATTAGTGTTTTAATTTTAGGCCTAGCCTCGATCATCATTACTAAAGTTGGTTTGATAAAAAACATAGTCTTGATTATCCATTTTTGGATTAAATCATCAAAGAGTGTTGTGCATCAAATCAGATTTAAATCTGGAGAAAATCTGATGCATAAGATGGCATAGAGGGTTGATTATGATCTTTACATGGTAATAAATGTCTAATTAATAGTTTATATCACATTTCAGGCCTAAAGAAAGACCTGCAATAGGAAGATTTAGCTCTTGCATAATGTATGTCTAAATGTTAAGACTTAGGCAATTTTGAAAATAAAACCCAATAATATATGCGATTATGCACATGTAAGAAACGGTCTGTTACATATTCACTCGTTGTTAAACGTACTGAAAATATTAGTAATTTTGAAACGGATGTTGCTAAGATAATAAATGGTTCATTACATATTTATTACATTATAAAATGTTCAGAAAATATTATTAATTTTACAAAAAGAAAAAAAAAATAGTGCTATACATTGTCATTTTATGTGGTTATTATATCACATATGATTCATACACACACACACCTTGTGAAATGAGATTCCAAGCAATACAAAATACTATTACACAATGGTGCTAACTGTATTTCTGTAAATGTAATCATAACACATCGCGCAAACTATTTCTGTCTTGAGCAGTCAATACTCCCTGATTAATTTCATTTTACGCGTATAAAAACCCAGGAGGGCAAAAAAAGAGATATAAATTTGAAATACGGAGACATATCAAGTTGTAAAGTACACAACTATTTCTTGGTTTCGTTCATGCAACGTTTCAATAATTTACAGACATATCTTTGTCAAGTCAGAGTATTGAAACGTTGCATGAACGAAACCAAGAAGACATGAAATAGGCAGATTTAGCTCTTGCATAACATATCTTTAACATTATGTTTTGATTGTTAAACTGTTTTTACTCATGGATGTGCTATAAATGTATGGTTGTTATTCATTATTGATCATTGCTTGATAAAGATACCTGTAAGATTATTGAAACGTTGTATATAATAAACCCAAAAAAGTAAATCCATAATGTTGTGTTTTTTTATATATACCTTTATTTCAAGATACAAGTTATATTGACATCAATCTAGGGTTATTTTTTTTTTTTTTAAATCAAAGGATAAACTTTATATTGTTTTGGAAAGATAGAAACAAATGTCATTTTAATTTTTGAAAAACTAATTAACAGGTGGATATTACCTGTTATTACCTGAAAGGAGAGCTGGAATAAGACACCATTATTTACCTGTTTGGACAATTAACAACATAATTAACATGACATAATTATATGTAATACAAGTTATTGACTGTATTACTAAATACAACTTCAACAAATTATTAATGGCGATTGGATTGATATAATTTTGTGAAGGTCTATTGCACATAGTTTATTATTCAGACAAGCTATATTTAAAGCTGTATTGCACAGTTGGTTATCTAACTATGGTATATTTAAAGCTGTATTGCATAGTTAATTATATAACTGTGGTATATTTAAAAGGTGTATTGCATAGTTAATTATATAACTGTGGTTTATTAAAAGGTGTATTGCATAGTTAATTATATAACTATATTTAAAAGGTGTATTGCATAGTTAATTATATAACTATATTTAAAAGGTGTATTGCATAGTTAATTATATAACTATATTTAAAAGATGTATTGCAGAGTTGATTATCCAACTATGGTATATTTAAAGTGTATTGCATAGTTAATTATATAACTGTGGTATATTTAATGGTGTATTGCACAGTTGATTATATAACTGTGGTATATTTAATGGTGTATTGTACAGTTAATTATCTAACTGTTGTATATTTAAAAGGTGTATTGCACAGTTGATTGGTATATTTAAAAGATGTATTGCACATAGTTGATTATCCAACTATGGTATATTTAAAGATGTATTGCATAGTTGATTATCTAACTGTGGTTTATTTAAAGGTGTATTGCACAGTGATTATCTAACTATGGTATATTTAAAAGGTGTATTGCACAGTTAATTATCTTACTATGGTATATTTAATGGTGTATTGCACTGTTGATTATCTAACTATGGTATATTTAAAAGCTGTATTGCATTGTTAATTATGGAAGGATGATATATTTTATTGAAAGTGTAGGTTATGAGTACAAATATCTAATTAGGTATTTATTTTAAAATTATAGTTTTAGTTAAAGATATGAATATAAAGCGTAAATGTAAGGGTACATATCCTCTACTTGATAAATCTGTGCCAGTGCCATGTTGGATTCTTGTACTGTCCATAAATGAGGCCGGTCTGATACATTATTAATATTTAATGTATCATAATACAAAAATCAATTCCAAAGGATGCTAAATGCAGAGATTCATCTTTCACAATATGGGAGAGAGAGATAGAGAGAGAGAGAGAGAGAGAGAGAGATAGAGAGAGACAGACAGACAGACAGACAGACAGACAGAGATATGATGAAACTGGAGGATCTTGAGAAAACCCACCAGGTTGAACAGACGACCCTACTCCTTGTCACGTACAACCAGGGAATTGAAACCACGCCAGTTGAATCAATGACAGACCTTATGATGCAATGCACACACGCTAACCATTCAGCCATTCAACCCCACAAATATTGTAAAGCATTCAGAATCTCTAAAACAATGGTCTATGCCTTGAATGAATCCATATGATAATGACGATTGCAAAGAATTAAGCTATTTTTGGACAAATATTACTTGAAGAGATTCAACTTTTACAAACACGTTCACATGAGAATCAATGTCTTTAAACATACATTATACAAGAGCTAAATCTGTCTATTGCAGGTCTTTCTTTAGGCCAGAAATGTTATCTAAATTATTAATTAGACATTAATTAACTTATTCAGACCATAATCAACTCTCGATGCCATCGCTAGCCTGCGATATTTACTGGATTAGGATCCGATTTGCTGCTCAACTTTCATTCATGATTT